TGTAATTGCACCAAACCGGAAGTCCTTCTTCAGTCCGCGCTTGCACTTCGGGATGACCTGCAAAGCCCCGAGGTGGAACTCGGGGTAGACACTCCGATGCTTAAGTCAGCAATAATCGGGGCTACCTTTAAGGCGGAGATAAAAAGAGCTTAGGGTCGGTTTCAATTACCTTTTGACGTGGCCCGGAGGGGGTATTTATAGGATCCAATGAGGAACCCACGTGGCATGCCAAGCAAGATAGTCGGAGCCTGACGTGTCTATCCAGACGATTATTCCGGGACCGGGAATTTGAGAGGTATTCAGATGCACGGGTGTCCACCGTTCTTGCTGTGCCGCTCATCATAAGGAATCAGGTGTGGACATGCTTACTGTCATTATCATGCAGCTATTTGAGCGGGAAGCTTCGGATTCATTCCTCACTTCGGTCATAAAGGAATTACTGTAGCAGTCCGAGGTTTGGCACCTCGGCCCTGTCCTTACAGGGGGTTATGGCACCTGAATCCGTTGTCATCAGTCGACCCTCCTTCATTTCTGGATCCAAGTGTTCCTCTTTCGTGCAACACAATCAAAATTTGAAATGCTCAATAAAATTTTCATCCAAAAGTAATCACTTCCCATGTCGTGTAGTCTCTAGTTGTTTCAATCCGTCCATTTTTGGTGGAATTTACAGTTTGAGATTGCGGAGACATGGCATTGTTGGCGGTAGAGCTCATCTGAGATCGTTAAGTGAAGAAAACAATGATCTGGGTGGTGACCAAGGTGAGGTTTTAGGTCTGAATTTGAAGTCTCTGAAGATTTTGCTGAAGCAAGGAGTCTTTATTTGGGCAATGCTTTGTTGTCTTCTGTTTTTCGCGTGCAAGAGAGTGCTCGCGGCGGAGGGATTGGTGAATGCAGGGTACAGAGTGATTAAGGTTTCTTTGGTTCTTAAGATTTTCAAAGAGCAAGGTGTGATTCTGATTGCACTTTTAGGTCTATCTGCATTCTTCTCAATGGCAGAGACTTTTATAACTACACTGTGGCCATGGAAGATTTGCTTTCTTTGTTTGAAGATTGATGGTTCTTATAATTAGTGAATAGCAATTGAAATCTGAATTTTAGTACGGAAACATCAAAAAAGTTAAATATATGAAGTTGAAGAGCATTCACAGTTATTGATGGTTAATGTTTCAGTAACTTTTATGGTTTAGGTAAATATATGAAGTTTGTGGTTGATGTGCAATGGCATTTACTGACTTAAATATTGGGTTAAGTTTAGCAAAGATTAATCTGATTTACTATTTCAAATCTTGATTGTGAAGTTCATGCAGCAGTATTACTGTTGTCTTGTTTGGTTTGGAGGATGATGCTAGTTTCTTATATGATCATGTGGTTCATATTAACTCATGGAAGAACAAGTTTTTTTTTTTTTTTCAATGTCACCAAGCCATTGGGAAACTATGGTCTCATTGGTGATTTGATGCTAATTTGTGTCAGGTTCTAGCTGAAAAAGAGTCTGAAGATGGTGTCTTTCGAATGCTTCACAGTGATGTAACGTAGTTTTTTACCACCATTCTTATTGGCACTACGTACTAGTCTTTCCCATCATCACTTAACTCATCCAGTTCTGTGTGTCTATGTTTGACTTTCGTGTGTGATTTATTTTTAGATGCCATTTTTGTCACTAGGGTGGTCAATATTGGAACAACTGCTTTAGTTACAAACACAGGAACAACAATATTTGGAGAAGCTGGTGTTAGTGCAACAACTGGAATAGTGACTGTATGTATATAAGAATTCTATCCTCTTTATGTACCCCACATACCCAACCTCCTTGCCTGCCTCTATCCGTGCTTGTATGTAGCTCATTGTGAATTTGTAGTAAATTAGAGTAA